TAAAATTAATATTTTTTTAATTTTGGAAGAAACAAAGTACCTAGGTTTTTGCTCCCCCAGATCCCTTGCCATTAGTTACACTGACCAGATTTAAATCTGGACCATCTGGAGGCCACCAAATTGCCAAATTCTGACATAATACCAGGGACATATTTGATACAGTATCTTAATTAGCAGTGTCTCCTAATTTTTAATTATTATTGAAAGATATTTTTGAACAGCTGATTTCATTCGAACTACATATGCAAAGGGAGTGTAATTAGAAAAAATACTGCTTGATGCTGTCTTCAAAACTGATCTAGCTTCCAAGCTGTAATTCTGTAATATCAGAAGAATGTTTATATATGCATTGAGCCTTTACAAGATAAATACTGTTGAAGCACATCAATATTTACAATGTTTAAATGGTTGCATAATATATTGCTTGATATAAATTCTATGGCATCACCTAGTTAACCTTGGCCAAGCTCAAAAAGTTTAGCTGGGTTGGACCTGTTTATTACTGAATTTATACCCAACTTTTCTGATCATTCCAACATTCATGCCAGCTTAAGACAATAAAAATACTAGGCCTGTAAGCTAGATTTGGATATTGAAAAAATACGCTGGAGGAAAGCAGTGGCAAATTAATTTTATATTGTTGACAAGAAAATTACTTGCCATGTTCCTAAAGTAACCAGCTCTCAAGCTTGACTTGGAGATCTGTATTTTATATAGATCACTAATCAATTCATAAAGATTTGGATTGTGAGTAGATGCATTATGAAAATCACACTATCAATTCCCATAGTTTGTTTTTTTCTTTTTTATGAACCAGTCTTACACTCCTTTTGGGAGTATATGAAGAAAAGTTTCAACATCTTTTCTCACTTCTATAGAAGCTTGTTGAATGTTGGGAGCAACTGGGGGGCGGCATTCCTGCTGTTTTTCTATCCTAATCTTTATGCAATTGAAATAAGTCTTTACCTTCTGGACTTGCTAGAAAGCCTGAGGGAAGATGTTTTGTTTTCCAACAGGAAAGCAACATTAGGGACTCTCCAGCTGATCCTTGACTCAGAAACGTTGTATAAATGAGAGAAGACACTGCCCCCCAATAATAAGGGATATTACAAGAGCATCCATAGTTTCTAAGTGTTTGGTGGCCTTTCTGTATACCCCAAACCCAGTTCCAGTTGGCCACATCACTTGGTAATGATGTCATTATAAGCTTTAAGAATGTGGCAGAGCCCTAGGAAGAGGCAGCAGCGAGCCACTTCTGAAAAACCTTGCCAGGAAAGCTGCAGGGACCAGTCCAGGCAGTTGCCAGGAGTCAAAAACTGAATCAGAGGCACCCCAAAAAAGAAAAAGGAAGAGTTGCTGTCAAGCCATATATTCAGTGTGCACACCTAGTTTTCTTTAGCTGTCTGGTGGAGATGAACCTTACTGAATTTGTTTGATGGTGCCTTTCCCAGAATTACTTCTGTTTAAGCCAGTTTGTTTATTTATCTTTTACTCCTCATCCCTTTTCTTAATATATAGCAGTTGTTAGGCTGTAAAACTGTTTGTAACAATAATAAATTCTTCCTTCGCGCTTAGATTTTCTGGCCAGAATAGAGAATGTGGGAAAATTTGCTCTGAAAGGTACAGGGATCTATTCCAGAGATGGGGTGTGTAGTGAGTCACAGGGAAAAAGAAGAATCAGCAAAATCTTTCTAAACTTTCCGTATTCAAATTCCTTTTGCAAACAGACTCTTTTGAGTCCAGAGGCACACACATAATATGTTCATGTACTTCCTGAGCGATAAAGCTCAATTGTAATCCAGCAGCAAATTTTCTCCAATATGGTTTGTTTTAAGAATAGTTGGGTGAAACTGTTGGATGGAATTTTAAAATCCTGTTATTCTTTTAAATTTTGCCTTCAGAATGTAACCTTTATGGTCAGTGCTGCTGTGTACCAGCATCCTCCTCTTCACTCTGTAGTTTTCATTAGTTTAGGTGTTCATGGTATTACTCTTAATTTGTTAAAGTGCCATAAGACTTTAATATCTAATGATTTCCCACAAGAACTAGGTAACAACTGAGACTCAAAAGGACAATACATTTCATTGTTTACTGTTCTGTCTTCACTGTCTAAACATGGTCTTGATCTTACTGAAAGCTCTAACAATCCTGAATTCTAATAAAGCAGTTAAGGAAATTTTTCTTGATAGAAATATAGTCACACAGACATGTTGTGAATTTCCATGAACTTTTGATAATGCTTTTTTTTTTTTTAAACACTCATTAAATGCCAGAGCATTTTAGCAATTTGTTCAAACTGTGAAATTGATAGTTAAGATGTTGTGGATGTTTTGGCTATTCATAAGGCTTACATACTGTTCAAAAGATCGGTATTGATAAACTGGAGCTCAGTTTCTGTTTTGCGTCTTTAGTATATATTTCTGAGAATGCATTTCTTATATGTATGATTTTATAACTATTTTCATAACATATTTATGAAGCTTAACTATTGTTGCAGTGCAGCTATTTTACCTAAACTGACAATTCTGGTATCACTTATAGTAAAGCATGTAGACTAGACCTAGCTTTACAGGTGGGGTGTTTGTATCACATATTAAAATGTGTTCAATGATTATATAAGCTTGCAAGCATCTGTATTTGTAACTCTGCTTGCTAAAACTGCCTTATAAAAACATTTGTTACTAAGAATATACTTATCAGTAGAGGGTAAAATGGCATATGAATTCTGTTTTCAGTTTTCATTTTGTGAGGTTATATGGTTGGGGACATTAATCAGAGATTATTTGAATTTGCATTTGGTATACTTAAGGAAGATTAGAAATTATTAATAGTATTCCACAGTAATGCAAAAAGAAGAGATTATTGTATTCAAAGGAAGATCTGGTTCTGCATAATAGAAGGAATATTTTACTAATAATGGCTTATCAGCCTAATAAAATATTGAATTGTTTTTGTGACTTTTCTTCTGTTTTTCCTAGCTTTGGCATTCTGTTTTTGGGGTTTTTTTTTTGCATATTCTATGTTTAAAAACTGAGCATTCTACAAACTCTTTATCATTGATGGAAGCCTTTTGACAGTATTATAAAAAGAGTGAAAGGTTTACCTAGGATGAGAAAAGAAATCAGGATTCCAATGCTTCACTGTCATATTTTGGATGAAACTTAACATGGAAATATAGTTGGAAGCTGCAGTAGAAGAGGCCCCATAACCATCACCCCCCAATTGTAATAACATTTCTTTCAGAAGAATATGATGGAATAGTTCTGTTTTTCTCTAAAAATGCTCCCTGTCTGATATGAAAAGCAATCTTTGTATCTTTGGTGGAGTAAAAGATATTTCAGATATATTGCAAAATGGTTGTCTGATTTAGCCTTCTCATTTTTGTGGCAAAAATTAAGACTCTGGTACTACTTTTTCTGGCTAGCAAACTTTATCAAAAAAAACAAACCCTTTTGTTATTCAAAAATATGGTTTTTCTTTTTTTGCCACCCTAGACTAACAAGATTCTTTTCCTACAATAATTTTTGTGGCAGTCATTTAATGATCTATAGTTTTCAGGGTGTGCATCTTGCCTTTTAAGAGAAATTGGTGTCTGTATATTGAAATGAAGTCTTGCTTTTACAGGAACTCTTATCAGAACACTTTAAAACATGGTGGATTATTATGAAGTTCTAGGAGTGCATAAACATGCCTCACCAGATGACATTAAAAAAGCGTAAGTCCTCATTTTTAAAGCTCTGGCATTAGCCACTTTAGGAGGAAGGCCTTGAACCATACAAAACTGATTGCAGCCCTCAGCCTATAAAAAGTTTGCTTATGCTTCCTTTACTACCACTTGGGTGATTATTTGTTAGTATGTTTACCCAGAATTAAATCTTGCAGTTGAAATTATTATTAGCTGAGAAAGATTGTTTAAAGCAGAAGTTATTTAAAACATTCAAGAAAATATGGCTGCAGAGTAAATTTCTTATGTCAGAAACTTACATCAAGAATTAAAAACTGATCTTACAAAAATTTTCCTTAGAATTGGGACAGGCTTACTGATAAGTTGGCTGTGACATCTAAATTGAGAAATTGGTGGATAATACAGGTAGTCCTCAGTTTAAGAACGAGTTCCATTCCCAAGGTCTCTCCTTAAGTCAAACCTGTATGTAAGCCAGAACAGTATTATTGTATAATACTGTATAAGTAGTATTGTGTAATTAA